CTCCTAGCACAGCGACATCGAAAACAACTCCCCCTGCCGAGCAAGTACCCATAAGATCAAGCAATAACGGATCAATAGCCGACCCTGCAATAACAAAGATGCTTGGGGATCACTTCAAAAGGATCGAATCAGGTTCGTTGAAGTTCGTACAATGGCCGTTCCACGAGGATGCGGCCCTAGAACCCATTTTAAGGAAGTCCAGAACTCCAGAACTCCCTAAGTACAACGGGACCTCAGATCTCAACGAACACATCACCGCCTACATGTGCGCGGAAAAAGGCAATGACCCACAAGATAATGGGATCGAGTCCGTCTTATTGAAGAGGTTCGGGGAAACACTCTCTAAAGGAACCATGACATGGCATCATAATGTAGCGCCCGAACCCATAAACTTTCTTACCATACCGGCAGATTCCTCCATAAAGACACACGCCGATGCCATCAAAGCAGTAACGAGAGAGCTCAACACATCCAAGGCCGAACAAAGGGAGAATGAATCTATATTATTATATTGTATGGAGTACTCGGAGCAACATCAGCCCTTTACAAAGTAGTGTGGGTTCCCTTTATATAGGAGGGGAACCTGGTTATAGTACAACATGCATTAATTGTAAAGTATGGAGATGGGACGGCTAGATGTGACGCTTCGACAGAAGCTCCGGATAGGCCGGCTCTGTCAGACTAAGCCGCGTGCTTTGGGAATTTCCCCTTCTGCTCTGGCTTCTCCCTTCGTCTCCTTTGAGTCGGGCCCCGACGAGCCCCGATGGAGGGGACTCGGTCGCAGCTCCACGTCTTCGGGGTCTCGAGGCATTCTTCCGAAATAGCTTGATAGTTAGAAATTAAGTCCCCTGATTTCGCTGCATACAATATCCTTTGACCTCAACTTCTGAACATGCTAATCCAAAATGGCCACCATCTCCACATCATAAGTCAAATCACCATCCAACTTAATCGTGCTGAAATCCAAAACAATAGATGGATCATCGACATACTTCAGGAGCATAGAAACATGAAATACTGTCTGCAAACTCGACAAACTAGGTGGAAAGGCAGGCTTGTAAGCCACCTCCCTGATCCTTTGAAGTACCTCAAAAGGCCCAATAAACTGAGGGTTCAACTTTCCCTTCTTCTCGAACATCATAACACCCTTCATGGGTGAAAACTTTAGCAAAACCTTCTCCCCAACCATGTAAGAAACATCACGAACCTTCCTGTCGGTATAACTCTTTTATCTAGACTACACTGTGCGCCAGAATCAATTTAGACTTATTCAAATCATCTTGAACTAAGTCAGTACCAAATAGCCTAGCCTCACCCGGCTTAAAATAACTCACTAGAGATCTACACCGCCTCCCATACAAAGCCTCATATGGAGCCATCTGAATGCTCAACTGATTACTGTTGTTGTAAGCAAACTCTACGAGTGACAAAAAGTAGTCCCATGAACCCCTAAAATCAATGACACAAGCATGTAACATGTCCTCCAATATCTGAATAGTGCGCTCGGACTGTCCGTCCGTCTAAGGGTGAAATGTTGTACTCAACTCAATCTGGGTTCCCAATTCTCACTACACGACTCTCCAAAACAACGATGTAAAAAGCATTCCCCAATCTGAAATGATGGACATTGGCACATCATGAAGGCGAACAATCTCTCGGATGTAAATCTCAACCAACCGATCTGAAGAATAAGTAGTACCAATTGGAATAAAGTGCACAGACTTGGTTAGTAAATCCACAATCACCCAAATAGCATTGAACTTCCTCGAAGTCCGTGGGAGCCCAACTACAAAATCTATGGTGATCCGCTTTCGTTTCCACTCTGGAATCTCTATCCTCTGAAGCAATCCACCCGGTCTCTAATGCTCATATTTTACCCACTGACAGTTAAGACAACGAGATACAAACCCCACCATATCTTTCTTTATTCTCCTCCACCAATAGTGCTGCTCGGGTCCTGGTACATTTTTGCGGCACCCGAATGAATGGAATACCGCGAACTGTGGGCCTAATCAATAATCAACTCACGTAGCCCATCCATATTGGGCACACATATCTGGCCATGCATCCTTAACATCCCATCATCTCCAACAGTCACATATCTGGCATCACCATGCTGAACCTTGTCCTTGAGGACAAGCAAATAAGGATCATCATACTGGCGCTCTCTGATGCAATCAAATAAAGAAGACCGAGAAACCATACAAGCTAGAACCCGACTGGGCTCCAAAATATCTAATCTCACGAACTTGTTGGCCAAGGCCTGAACATTAACTGCAAGAGGTCTCTCACCAATAGGAATGAATGCAAGACTACCCATACTCACTGCCTTCCTACTTATGGCATCGGCCACCACATTGGCCTTCCCCAGATGATACAGAATAGTAATATCATAGTCCTTTAACAGCTCCAACCATCTCCGCTACCTCAAATTTAGATCCTTCAGTTTGAACAGGTGCTGAAGGCTCTGATGATCTGTAAATACCACACAAGACACACCATAGAGAAAGTGCCTCCAAATCTTAAATGCATGAACGATGGCAGCCAAACAGAGTAGTTCTTCTCATGAGGCTTCAACTGGCGCGAAGCATAAGCAAATACTCTACCCTCCTGCATTAAAACACACCCGATATTGATTCGAGAAGCATCATAATACACTGTATAAGAACTAGAAGCTGAAGGTAAAACTAGAGTTGAAGATCTGGTCAAGGCAGTCTTGAGCTTTTGAAAGCTCTCCTCACACTCATCTGACCACCTGAAAGTATAACCTTTTTGGGTCAATTTGGTCAAGGGCGATGCAATAGATGATAATCCTTGCACGAAGCGATGATAATAACTGGCCAAACTAAGAAAACTCCAAATCTCTGTAGCAGAGGACGGTTTGGACCTACTCTAAAATGTCTCTATCTTCTTCGGATCCACCTGAATACCCTCACAGGACACCACATGCCCTAACAATGCCACTAAACTAAGCCAAAACTCACACTTGGAGAACTTGGGATAAAGTTTCTCCTCCCTCAACTGCTGCAACACAACCCTCAAATGCTGGGCATGCTCCTCCTAGCTACGAGAGTACACCAGGATATCATCAATGAACACTATAACAAATGAGTCGAGATAAGGCTGAAACACACTGTTCATCAGATGCATGAATGCTGCTGGGGCATTGGTCAGCCCAAAAGACATCATAAGGAACTCATAAAGATCATACCGGGTGGTGAATGGTGTCTTAAGAATATCCTAGTCCTGAATCTTCAACTGGTGATACCCAGACCTCAAATAAATCTTAGGAGAACACCCTCTTTCCCTGAAGCAAGTCAAACAGATCATCAATACGCGGAAAAGGATACTTATTCTTAATTGTGACTTTGTTCAACTGCTTGTAATAAATGCACATTCTCATAGTACCATCCTGCTTCTTTACAAACAAAACTGGTGCACCCTAAAAAGACACACTAGGCCTAATAAACCCCTTGTCAAGGAGTTCCTAAAGCTGCTCCTTCAACTCCTTAAACTCAGTCGGTGCCATACGGTACAGAGGAATAGAAATGGGCTGAGTTCCCGGCACTAAGTCAATACCAAAGTCAATATCCTTGTCGGGCGGCATGCCTGACATGTCTGCATAAAACACATCCCGATAATATCTCACCACCGGAACTGAATCAATAATAGGGGTATCCGCACCAACATCCATCACAAAGGCCAAATAAGATAAACAACCCTTCCTAGCAATCTGCTAGGCCTTCAAATATGAAATCACTCTACTAGGAACATAGTCTAGAGAACCTCGCCACTCAATCCGTGGCAACCCCAGAATCGTGAACGGTCTTAGCGTGACAATCCAAAATAGCATGATATAGAGACAACTAATCTTAACCCAATATCATGTCAAAATCTACCATACTAAGCAGCAATCGATCAACTCTAGTCTCAAATCCCCCAATACTCACTACACACGACGTGTACACATGGTCCATAATAATAGTATTGCCCGCCGGTGTAGATACATGAACAAATGAAGCTATGACTCACGGGGCATATCCAGATAATGAGTGAAATACGATGATACATATGAATAGGTGTAACCAGGGTCAAATAATATAGAAGCATCTTTGTGACATACTGAGACAATACTTGTGATCATTGTGTCTGAAGCAACAACATCTGGTCTGGTAGGGAGTGCATAGAATTAGGCCCGGCCTCCGCCTGATCGGCCTCCTCCTCTAGGGCGACCCCTAGCTAACTGAGCTCCACCCAGAGCTGGCTGCACAGGTGGTGAAGTAATGGGTGCTGAAGTCGTAGGTTGACTCCTCTGCTGAGCTGAACCTCCCGAAAGGCGGGGACAATGCCTCTTGAGATGACCCAAATCTCCACACTCAAAGCAACCTCTCCCTGCGAGCGGCGGTAAGGATCGAAGGGAGCCCCGAGCACTGGGATAACTTCTAGAAGGACTCGACTGTAGACATGTGATTTTTGACCCTCCCAAGATTTTATATATTTTAGCATGTAAATATTTAGTTTAGGACTAACATCGATATTTCAATTAGTTTTGACTCTTTTACTTTATTTTATAAAAAAAAAATAAACATTATTAAAATATTTCTTCTTTTTAGTTGCTTTTAGTTTATATACCTTTTGTAAGAATAAAAAATGTAAAAAATAGTACCTTATTTTTATATTAATATGATATTTGATAAATACCAAAAAATAGGTTTGTTAATGATTAGTCTTATCTTAATGGTTATTTTTACTTAAATAGGATTAATTAGTAAATGAGGTCGCATTTTAGTGTCGTTCACGGAGAAAGAATAAAATTTGGGCTCAAACAACCCATTCTAAAGCTTAATTTTCAGACCTAACCCATAATTTCCAAGCCCATAATTCCTAGGCCCATACCCCTTAACCTAAAAAACTAACCTAGACCCTTAGACCTTTAATAAGTCGTTTGGACCTAAGCTATCAAGGGACAAGACCTAATTCATATAGAATTAGCCATTTTGACCAATTTAGGACCCCCTTGACTTCGTCATCTTCAATCGCAGCCTTAGAGAACACCAAACGACCCCTGCCCTGGATCTTCTTCAGTGCTAAGGCACAAACAAAGACCCACCCTCCCGCCTGTCTTCTTCTCAGTCCTCACGCCACCAAGCGACCACCCCTGTAACCTAGCGCCGCTACTCACCCCCAAACAACCATAAAAAACATCCACTCCTATTGCCATCTTATCCACTCTTCAACTCCACACACACATACATATACACGAAATAGAGGGGAACAACCAAAGAAGAACAAAACAGAGAAATTTTTGGACAAACAATGGGGTTTGCTTGAGGTTGGAGTTGTGTTCGCCGTTCGGGTTCGTTACGATTCGCATTCCTGTTTAACTCTTGTTGCCGATTTTAGTTGATTTCGGATTCAAATGCAGCGGCCGATTTTTCTATTTTCAATTATTAAGAGAATACTTGCGTTTTCAGGTTCATCCCTCCCCTCTGTTATTTACTTATTTATTTGTTTATTTGTTGTTGTTGTTGTGGTGAATTGAGGTCTTGGAAGTGCCATTTTATGAGCTTGGTTGTGTTCACATTATTGACTTTAACGTTTGGATCTCTGATTTTGCGTGAATCTGCATTTGATAGCTAATGTGTCGAAATAGTAGTCATTGTCTTCAATTTCTTGTTCTAACATGGAATTGGCCAGATTTTGATGATATGTTATGGCCCTCATGTGATTTTTTTCAAAACCCGTGTGATGGGCGATAAAAATTGTGAGTTTATTTGAAGGTTAATCATCACTGGCAGTCCTAAGCATTTACTTCTTCCTCACTAGATCCTCACAAGATGTTCAAATAAATCACATAGCATTTACTTTCATGTGCCACAAATTTTGGAGTCCGAAGTTATTGTAAAATTTCTTAAGCTCAAGTAATGCTTGGTTTTGATGTTTTACATTCTGGGTTTGGGACATGCTGAGTTCACTGTCAATTTCCAGAAGAAAGGGTCAGCATGTTCACGAAGTCGTAGTATTAAATTGAAGTGTGATTTATTGATTTTGACCTCAGAGTTGCTTGAATATAATGACCGTGGAAACATTTCATTTATAAGAAAGTTTAATTGTTTATTCAGAGAATCATATCTTTTAATTGGAACGACTTGACTCTTAATCAGTTGGAGTACTGATGGTAAAATCGAGAATTGATGAACGCGAAACCGAATTTTGATTTAGATTAAGCATGAACCCCATAATTCGCTTTATTTGAATATAATTCCTTTCTTTTAATAAGTTGAGGTGTGCCATTCATAACTAAACCACCTATGGCCCTCATATTTTATAACTTAGATACTAAAAATGAATCTCATAGTGTGTTTTAGGCGCGTTAATTAAATAAATATCATGGCTATAGGTATGGTTCCCGTGACGTAGTTGTGATTTGTAATTACTAAAATTCGGGTGTACATTTCATGTGACCCGATTCTATTCTCTAACAATGTTAAATAGAACCTGTCGCGAATTACGGGTGCATTTCATGTAGCGTGATTTACGATGTGTTTTAAATAACCTTGAAATTTCTTGAAATATTAAAAGCGGCTAAAAAGTTAAAAATGCACAATAGGTTTAAAACGTGTAAAAGATCAGATAATTAGGCCAATAATAATAGTTGAGCGACCGTGCTAAAACCACGGAATTCGGGAATGCCTAACACCTTCTCCCGGGTTAACAGAGTTCTGCACCCGGATTTCTGTGTTCGCAGACTATAATAAGAGTCAATTTCCTCGATTCGAGATTCTAAACCGGTGACTTGGGACACCATTAACTATCCCAAGTGGTGATTCTAATCTTAAATAATAATCCCATTTCAATTGTCACTTAAATTGGAAAAAACTCTCTTATACTATTTTTTTGGGGTAGGATAAAGGAGGTGTGACAGCTCTGGCGACTCTGTTGGGGATAAGAAACCAGAACTTCTTGTTCAGGCTTCAAGAATTCGAGCTTGTTTTGTGATCTTTATTTAGATTTATTTATTGTTCATATTACTGTATTTATGGACCTAATGTGCTAACTGCTGCTTATTTACTACTTTGATATTATTTGAATTTATTAAACTACACCCCTCTAAGTCATCTGAAAATGGTGCACACGTTCGCGTGGCCCACTTTTTCTGTAGAAGTTATACTAAATAGAACGAGGCTGGGCCAGCAACAAGGTCGGGTAGACTTTAGTGCTCCCGGTACGTTGCCCCCTCTTCAGCTCAAGTTGTCTGCTCGGGTAAGCTAGGTCAAGAACACAACCCAAGGTTTAAACTTAGAATAACATAATCTCATGCTGAATCACTAGTAGGAACGTTTGTTTGCATCATGTGCACTTGACTTTGGTGACTCAACATAGGGGTTGGGTCCGTCTAGGAAAGGTGTACCCAAAATAACAGACAATCTTGTTGCATCCTATGTGCTACATGTTGCATTTTATTTAAGGGTAAAAGGGTCATTTGGAAAACCAATGATTGTTGAAGGCAAATGAAAAAGAAAAAAAGAGAGGGTGAAGCGTGAAAAATAAAGAAAGTAGGGCCCAATTATAATTTTCTTTCACATTTTTTCAAGAAAAGACCAAAACAAAAATGAAATAATCCAAAAAGATTTTGCAATTACCCCATCATTTTTTTTCAAAGAAAAAAATATCCAAAAAGAGTTTACAAGTTTCATTATTTTTTTTAAAAAAAGGCAATTTTTTTTATCTAAATTAGTTTTTTTTAATTCTCGCCCGTATCCGATTTGCCCGAACTACGTAAACCTGATTCTCATCTCTCGGGGCGGGATACTTAGGAAACCCACATAGGGTCCGGTCTTCCTAGTGAGTCTTAGGTTCTTGGCTTCGCGGGGTCTTAGCCAAATTTTGCACTTCTAGCCACCTTTTGGAACATAAGTCATTTTGCAAAAATAACCTCAATCATGTCTTGCATGCATCCAACAGGGAGTGTTATTGTCTTACATAATGTTCTAGGTCTTTAACTTTATTTGGTCTTAATTTTTTTATATAGGTGTGGGTCTACTTACCGGAGTTAGAGCATATGTAACGACCCGACTGGTCGTTTTGAGCTTTTGCACTTTGCTCGCCAGTTCTCGAGCGTGACTTTCCCCGTGTGATGTATTATGATTTATGTAAATCATTGGTTTTGATTTTCAGGGTAATCGGAGTGAATTTGGAAGAAACAGTTCTCAGTTGAAGCTTGGAATTTGAAAGGTTTGACCAAGATTTGACTTTTTTGTATATGATCTCAGATCGGAATTTTTATGATTTTGTTAGCTCCGTTGGGTAATTTGGGACTTAGGAGCATGATTGGAATGCATTTTGGGAAGTCCGTGGAAGGTTTAGGCTTGAATTGGTGAAATTGAGATTTCAGCGTTTTCCGGTTGATAGGTGAGATTTTGATATAGAGGTCGGAATGAAATTCTGGAAGTTGCAGTAGTTTCGTTGTGTCATTTGGGGTGTGTGCGCAAAATTTTAGGTCATTCGGACGTGGTTTGTTTGGGTTTTTGATCAAAAGCGTAATTCGGAAGATTTTACAAAGTTTGGCTTGAATCCGAGGTGTTTTGGATGATTTGATGTTATTGAAGGTGTTTTTATGATTGGAACAAGTTTGAATAATGTTATGGGATATGTTGGCATGTTTGGTTGAGGTCCCGAGGGCTCGGGTGAGTTTCGGGTGGTCAATCGGACTATTTCATGTTGTGAAATATTGCAGAATCTCAGCTGTTGGTGTTGCAGGTTTTTGACTTTCGCGTTCGCGAAGCATGTTCCGCGATCGTTAAGTGTGAGATCGATGTTCTTCGCGTTCACATTATCTCTGTCGCGTTCGCGATGTTTTGATGTTTTGGTCATCGCATTCGCGAGGTGCAGGTCGCGTTCGCATAGAGGAAGAAGGATAGATGAGTCTCCAGTGCATTTGTTCTACGCGTTCAAGTAGTAGGTGTCACGATCGTGAAGCATTGAGGCAGTTGGGCATCGCATTCGCGATATGGGTCTCATGTTCGCATAGAAGAAAACCCTGTCTGTGAAGCAGCGTGCTTCACGAATGCGAGGGAAGTGCCGCGTTCGTGATGAAGGAAAGTCTGGGCAGACAGTTTATGTTTTAAAATCGAGGGTTTAAGTCCAATTTCATAAAAACCATTGGAGAGCTCGGGAGAAGGTGGAATTGGAAGAGATTTTCAGTGGAGCTATTGGGCAAGTATTCTTACTCATATTTTGGTTAATTCTATGATTTGGTCTTGAATTTCATCATTTAATTTGAGAAATTAGAGTGAAAAGTGGGGGAAAATGGAAGAAAAGTTTGAGATTTCTTTTGGGGATTTGAATGGGCAACGAAGGCCGGATTTTGATGAAATTGATATGGGTAGACTCGTGAGTGAATGAGGATTCTATTGATGTGATTTTTATTGGATTCCGAGATGTGGGCTTGAGGGCCGGGTTTGAGCAATTTCGGGATTTTGATGTTAAATTGGATATTTTCGAGAGAACTTTGTTCCCTTAGCATATTATAATTATTATGTACTGATTGTGGCTAGATTTGGAGCATCCAGAGGTCGATTCATTCGGGCGAGGCATCGCGAGCTATAGTTTGGACTGGATCGAGGTGAATAATGATTGTAAATGATGTTTTGAGGGTTCGAAACCCCGGATTTGCACATCGTAGTGCTATATTGAGGTGAGGAACACGCTAGATGATGAGCGTGGGGTTGTGAACTATTGGGGATTGTCATTTAGTCCATCACGATTGACTATTTTACCGCATATTTGACTGAAATGTATCTGCTATCCTCACTATTTTGACTTTATACTTGAACTCAGTCATGTGATTTTTCCACGGTTTTCAAAACTCAGCCATGTTTACTCAGTTTTAATACTTAAATGATATTTTGAATAATATTATGGGCTGAGCGTCATGTTTTACTGTTGCCCGAGTGGCTTATGTGATTTTCGAATGAGTAAGGCCGAGGGCCTGTATTGTGAGGATACATTTGGGTCGGGCTGCACGACGTAGCAATGAGATACTGGTTATGATAATGAGGCCGAGGGCCTGAGATATGTATGCCACGAGGTGGCTTGATATTGATATGAGGCCGAGAGCATGTTTATGATGCCATGAGATGGCTAGATATTGCGCTTGGGTCCTAAGGGGCCCCTCCCGAAGTCTGCACACCCCAGTGAACGCGGGTACCCATTGTGTTGTGAGATATAGCCCGAGGGGCTAGTAATGTTCTATGTGATTGCCCGAGGGGCTGGTATTGTTCTGAGACATTGCCCGAGGGACGGATTTGTGGATATTGTGCCCGAGGGGAGAACCTTATGTGCTTTTCTTTCTTATTTGTCTGTCATTTACCTGTTTAATTGTGTATTTGTGCCCGAGGGGCGGATTTCTGTGCTTATCTGCACTAATTGCATTGCATTCATTTGCAAAACTTTTGAAAAAGTAATTTTCAAAGAAGTTTAAACTGAGCTAAGATGTTTTAAGAGATTTTAAAGCTTCATTGCTTTCTTACTGGTTTTTGAACGGCTTCTATAAAACATCTTGATATGATCTACGTGATTTCTTACCATTCAGAATTTAGTTATGATTATTACTCACTGAGATGGAGTACTCACTTTACTCCCTGCACCTTATGTGCAGATTCAGGTACTTCTGAACCCGGTAGCGGGTATTAGTTGATCGGAGGCAGAGTCATCGGAGTTTAGCAAGGTAGATGCCGGCGTTCGCAACACTGCTTTTCTACCTCTCCATTTTATTAGTCTGTATTTTGTACATTTCAAAATTTTCAGTTGTATTTAGACCCTAGTAGATGCTTGTGACTTGTGACACCCCGGTATCGGGCTATGTTTGGGCTGTATTCCGCACATTATACTATCTTTTGCTTAGTCTTTGGCTTATTTACGTATGCTTAGACTGTTTAGTAATGTTTAACTATTTTAAAAATTGAATTGGGACTAGTTGTCTGGCCTTGTCTTCACGAGAGGTGCCATCACGACCGGGTCTGGGTTTAGGGTCGTGACAAGTTGGTATCACAGCCTAGGTTACATAGGTCTCATGAGTCATGAGCAGGTTTAGTAGAGTCTCGCAGATCAGCATGGAGACGTCTATATTTATCATTAAGAGGCTGCATAACCTTTAGGAAAACTTCACATTCTTGAATTCTTATCGTGCATCCTTGATTCAGCTTGAAATGTAACTCTTTGAATTCCTTCTACGCGTTTGTATGCGCGCATGAGTGCTCAGTACTAGATGTGCATCGATGGATTGTGATTCCCTGTTCGAGGGGCGAGATGTGATCTCTGTGAGTTGATGCTGGGCCAATCTAGAGGATTTGAGGCCAGATATTTGCCTATAGCATGAGCACCGAGGTGCTGATTGTGTGAGCAAGTGTTTTGAACTTATATGTTCGGTACTATCCCTATTAGTGGAAGTGACGGCTGAATGGCTATGTGATGATTATGTTAGTACTGTGAGATGTATCCATATGATTTGGAAGCGATGAGAAAGGTCTTCTGGAGGATAAAAGAACTATTAGGTACTTGAATTCCATCTTGATTCGAGGTATAACCCCAAGTTATGAGCGTGTGAAGAATTTTTTCATGTTTCCTAGTTGGGAGTGAAGTAAATCTCATGTTGTAGTATGAGTTCAGGATCAGGGAGACTAAGTGACTGCGTGAAGTTCATGACGGTGGAAGGCATGCGGAAAGGTTAGTTTGAGGTGAAGCAGGTGGTTTATCTCCCGCGGAGTGTTCGGAAGTTTGTGCGATCTTTATGTTGTTTGTTAGAAGATCTCATTTGCAAGTGAAAGATATGTATTGTAATTTAAATTGGGTCACTTAAGAGAGTGGGTTTAACTGTTGCGAGAGTGAATGCAAGATTTTCAAAAGATTTAAAATACTAGATAATCCGTGTTTTCACAAGCTTACAAAGGATTTGAGTTTAATCTCACTATGGTATTATGGCAGCAATAGAGTATATGCGTTATGAGTTATTGAGTGTGTTTTGATCTATGGCTTCGAGCCAAATGGGGGAGTCTGCTATTGATTAGTTGATTGCACGGTTATGTGCTATGTTGGTTCCAGTTTGAGGCCGGTAGGTGAATCAGTTATGATTTATGGAGATTGAGGTCGAGGATGGCTCGAGTGAAGGGAAAATTTTACAAAAGTTATATTATGCTTCATAGGTGCATGAGGATCACGGAATGTCTTGAGTTGTTGTTGGTAAAGGATGCTCAGTGCGTAGAGCAGGAAGTTTCTTGGTTGTATTGGGATGAGGTTACATTCTACGGTGCCGGAGTGCTAATGAGGCACGAGTTGTTCTGTTCGTTTGATCAGGCTAATTGCGGGTTGAGTAGAGTGGATGACTCTCTGGAATGGTTCTAATGGGTTCAAGATTTTCAGGTAATAATTGGAGATTTTCAAGTGTATAATTGGGCTAGAGATTGAGGTTCTATATTAGAGGGTGCCAAGATTTGTGTCATCTCTATATCAATTACGGGATTCTATATATCAGTATTAGGAAGGTAATGGTTCCAGATTCATAGGAAGTCCCTTTGGGGTAGGTATTTTAAATGTGGTGCTTTTGGAAACATTTAAGAGAGCACTCAATGGCTTATGAGCGTTAGACAGTGTGATTTTATGCTTAGGTCTCGTGTGGTAAGTCTGGGTTGAGGAATTTCGGTGCTACAACAAGTGGGAATATCAAGATGAAGGTAAATCAGAAGGAAACTCAGATAGGGATAGCTTGGTAGTAGACCGGACCAGTATGGTAAGGATATGATTAGTTCCTTTGGTGTGTACGGGGTGATGAGTTCCTACAGGTATTTCGTGGCAATGCTCTTAGGTTTTGATGGCATGCGTAGCTTGGTCGAGTTAGAAGGATTCTATACTGGTAGGTCTGGTTTGTGCAAGGGGAAATCGGAGAGTTCTTGATGGTTTCTACCTCGGTTGGAGATGTATATTTTCTATGGGAATGAGGAGCATGAGATGTATAGTGATTTTCTTCTAGATAGGATCAATAGAAAGTACTTGACTAGTTGAGTACGTAGTTGTTTGTGGCTCGGAAGGGAGAAGAAGTTCTCATGTTAGCCTAGGATGGTATAATATATGCGGTATGTTGTAGAGGATTGAGATTTGCGTGTGTAAGGTTACGGTTCAGTTCTAAACGAAAAGTCATAAAATTCTTAGGCAGCACGGGCAATTTAAGATGATTAGATAAATGAGCTTTAGATGATTAGGGGGATGATCTTCAGATGATTAAGAAAATGGTATTGCTAATTGGAGTGATTTGATGAGGGTATATGTTTCAGAAAAGGCAATGTGATTAAGTTGATGGTACTTCGGTAGTATTGCAGCGCTTTCTTGTTAGATCGACTGCTTGTGTGCGGTAAAATTGGGGGAATCCATTTCCCACCATTGAGGTATGTTCGGAGTACCCTAACAACATATTGAGGCCATAGGATCGTGATCGAGCTCCCTATCTCGAGTATCATCCGTGGCTCTGCAGTGGCTCGAGGGTTAGAGGATCTGTCCGCGACTTAGCAGAAGTCACGAAGACGAGAAACTCTCGAGGAGATAACCAGAATCAATAGGTTCTAGTGTCTTTTCCAGACATCCCATCCCCGAATCTTTACATTTAATGTGCCTTGTATTATACCGAGTCCCCTCGCCTATATAAGGGGGACTCACCTTACCTTGTAAGGGACTGATGTTGCTCCACTTCTCCGCAAATGCAATAATCTCTCTCTCTCTCTCTCTCTCTTTCTTCTAAATTGTCTATCTTCATTGGCCTCGAGGTCGCCATAGCACTTTGTCGTTTTCTTCTTTGTTCTTCGTTACTTTGCTCAATATTGATAATATATAGCCTTGCATAGCTATATTTTTGCCTGTTATCCCCTTCCCCGCTACCCTCGATAGCCTGAGATAGGCTCGAACCTCGGCCCCGAGGTGTCTTCTGGCTGATCTTATGCCCGGGCAACAACCCCTTATTGGTTCGATTACTGCCTTGCTTAACTCGCTTTTCGTCATTATACTTCACATTTTAGCACTAACTGCCTTAACAAACTAGCTCGGGAATAGATCACGTATTTTTAGAATCCCATTTACAAATTTAATTGCTGTTACCATTTTCACGGTAAACAGTTTGGCGCCCACCGTGGGGCTAAAAACAATAGTGATTATTTTCTTGTTAGTTTCGGCACTTGAACACACGATATCTTTCACATTTTTTCTTGCCCAAGATCTTTCGATTTCAGGTTAATGACCAGCTTGATAAGGGAAATCGAGAATGATAACCCCAAAAATCACAAAGAGAACAGTATGGCCGTTCTAACGGCTGGTGCGACACCGCAGGACCCCGATAACGCATCTAGATCAGTTCGAGTGGACGCGAGCCTGCACACCGCGCAGCGGGGCAACGAAGTCTCGTGCACCAATGACGACATACAGAACGTTGACGAACATGAAGCCCAAAAAATCCCAGCCTAGGTAGAACAAGAAGTTAATCTTCATATGAGTTTTGAAATGTTGCAGGAACGACATTTGGCTTTCGCTCAGTTGTAGAGTCGCCCGGAGACACCTGCTGCAGCAGCACCAGAAATATCTTCTTATGTCGAGCCAGTACCCGAGAAATAGGGCAATGACGGTCCGACAACCTACCCCGTCGCAGTAAGGATGTTTGAAGACCTTATCAAAAGGATCGAATCATGCTTGCGGAAACTCTAACAGCAACCGTCTCCCGAAGATACGATCCCGGAACTCATTTTACAAAAGTCAGAATGACGAATCTGCCTATGTGTGATAGGACCTCGAATCCTTACGGGCGCATCACCACTTACGCATGCTTGTCCAGGGATAGCGACCTCCAAAATGTTGAACTCAAGCCCATCCCGATAAGGAGACTCAAAGAAACTCTCCCGAAAGAAACCATGACGCAGCGCCACTACCCGACACCTAACCTTGCGGACCCGCTCACCGTACCAGCACGGTCCTCCGCAGAAACACGCACCGGCGCCATCAAAGCAATACAAAGAGGGCCCTATGCACTTGAAGTCGAATGGAGAAGAAATAAAGTGTCGCGAGAAGCGGCACCCTGCTCCCCGAAAGAATGAATGAGACCGCTCCCGGTTTCGAGTAGTTGGGCAACACCGGCCTTCGCCTAAAACCTAAACGAAGCATACCCGATAGCTACAGGGCATTTCAAGCAAAGCCTGGTCAGATATCCGGTCAAGTCCTGGTTGGATTCCCGCAACCGACACCGGTCCTGGATCAGAGCCGTAGACAACCATTCGGGAACCTCCTCGGGTTCTACAAATCTAGGCGGATTCCCGGCAAAGAAGCTGACGCCAAGCGAATGGAGGCTTCGTCCGTGTGCCACGAACGGCAGAAACGACTCAAGGTGCAGTCTGCCTCGCAACACTAAGGCAATAATCCAAAGGCAGTACCCTCGAGGAACCCCCAATGGAACCAGATTCAAGGAGACACAACTGGCAAGGAATCCTCGTCCGATAGAGTATGACTTCAACATTGTTGTACCAAGCATCGTGATCGCCGTAAGCGAAGCCAGGAACGCCCGGCGGCTCAGACCTATTGAATCTAAACCCCTCCAAGGAAGCCACGGCCTGCCACGGGAACCACGAGGTGCTGGGGGTCACAGGCCCAAAAGAGCAACAACTATACCATTCAACAAAGGTCTCCACAAAGTGTCATCGAGCGAGCAGACCCAGATACAGCTCCACGAGAGGAAGGAGATCGAGAAAAATGGAGCCGACGAGCCACGCTGCATCGCCGCAGCTGTAAAAGGACGGCGACACTCTAGAAAGATATGTAGAGTGTAGAGTGTAAGTGCCCATCACCAGAAAGGGACGGTCCCAGAAAATGCTCCCAAA